ATTGAAAGATCTTATGTGAGATAAAATGATTAAGAGATCTTACTTCTCTCCAGGATTTCAGAATAGGAAAAAACCAAACACATTTATAAAAGTCGTTATTAGAACCCTGGAAAGATAGAATGGGTAACGCGGTCAGTGAGTTTTGCTCAGAAAGTCATGCTTTAGGGCTTGAAATAGAAAAAAAAAAGTTTCTATTTGGTGTTCAGGGAAAGCTCTTCATGAAAATAATTGAGCTGGAACTTGGAGAACGAGTAGGTTTTGTGTAAATATGGGGGCAAAAGAGACTATTCACTGTGAAAAGAATATAAGAGCTGAGGCATGGAGATTGAAAAGCACTGACACACCAGAGCAGCCAGCAGGTAAGAACCATCACAGAACCAGTGCTCCTGTCAGGAATCATTTAACATAAGCAAGTGCAGAAATAACTGACTATTGCATACCACCATTGAAAAGCTGTCTCATGCTTTTAGTATATAATAATTCTATTCTGTATTTAATGCAATGTACATAATTCATGAACCCACATGCACTGTTCAAAAATTAGCTTAAATACAAAATATAACACAAAGCATTTAATTTCAGAGTAGGAATGGAAAACAAGGGATTATTTATAAAGTACTGATTTAACTCAAAAAGATACTAATAATCAATAGGTGAACTTGGCTGCAGAAGAAAATAAAAATGCCATGTAAAACTTTGCAAGATTGCATGTCTTGAAGTAAGTCAAACACTCAAAATTCTTTTTACTCAGAAATATTTTACTCTAAATTCTTTTCCTATTGTATTTTCTGCTCATAGCCAAAATCTTATATTTTCCAAAATAAAAAAAAGCGTAGTGAGTAATGTCAGAACTTCCACAAATAAATCATTTCAAATTATTTCTTAAAGTACAAGTTTTGCATGCTACCTATTAGCTGGCTTTGTAAAATAGTGAACATTTCTGTTGATTATACCTTGACAGAGATATAATATATACATGAGATTCAAGTGTAGCACTTGACTCAACAAATCCACCTACTGCTTCCAACATTAATAGTGTATGTATAAAAGCAGGCAGCCTTGAAACCTTCCGAATACACCAGTAATCCTACTATTTGGACACCAGATGAGGGAGGAGAGAGAGCTGGAAAAAGAAAGGAAAAGAGACACACGAAGAGGGACAGCATCCCATCAAAATGCATTTTAGATAATGTAGAATCAGGGACTACAAGCTTACAGACCCCACAACCAGAGGGTGGCATCGTTCATGTAGTATGCAGACAGCAGAGTCTAAAATCAATCCATCTGCCACTGCAACCATGTTAGGCAAGTACTGAGATGGGGAGATCAGCTGTGCATCTTATAGTCAAATGACTATCATCAGCATTAGGTAAGAAAGCAAACTACTGCTTGGTAAAGGGCCATATGCAGTTGTGTCTGAAATGACCATTAGCATCATTTATATAATTTTATTACCTATTTATTAATTTTTAAATAGCATTTCTTAATTTTTTTAAAAAAAGATTTATTTATTTATGCATACAGAACTGGGGCATAGGCCAGAGGTGCAGGGTGGTGAGAGGAGTCACCAGAGACAGAATGGGGAGCAGAACAGGCAGATTGATAAAGTACACTGCTGAGGGGAGCAGCAGGTAGATCAGGAAAGGTCTGCTGCGCCACGCGGGTCAGCTCTGGGGCAGGAATAGAAGTTGCACTGAAGCAGCTGTGGCTAACTTTAACCCGATAGGCCACCAGAGAAGGCCCTAACTTTATTTTAATACAGACATTGCACTAGACACTTTAGCCTGCATTTAATAGAATAGTTTAATTCATTTAATTCTCCAAACAAGCCTAAAGGTAGTCTCATTTATCTTATTTAACAGCTACTTTCTAAGCTGAGGCTCAGAGAAGGAAAGCAAGACTCCTGGGATGACACAGCTCATGGTGGCAGAGTTAAATGACTGTAACACTGATCCTCTTTTCATAAATCAGCTACTTTCACCAAGCTTTTACCTGAGGGGTCAGAAAAATCCTGCCTTCTATTTCATTCCCTACGATCCTGGATGCAGGTTTTCTATCTCCTTAGACATCTTTCCTCTTCCCCTTTCCCTTAGGTTCCAGTTTCTAGCTAGCGACACTTTTTCAACCATATAGGAGCGCTCCTATTTTCACAAATTTAATCAGCACACTCAATAAGATGTCCCCATACTCAACAAAAATAGAAGGGTGGGGGGAGAGGGGAAACACAGGCAAAGAGAAACTGCACTGGTGAATTCAGAGTTGTGAAGCGGGGAGGGAGATCCCATATGCCTTGAAGTCATAGCAGAGTCTGGAGCTGGTCTGGAACCCCACCAGCTCAGGAGACCCAGCCAGGGGATGGCTGGATTAGAGTGACCTAATCAGAGAGGCTGCAAGAGTCCACCTGGAGAAGAAAAAACTTGAGTGAGTTTGGAGAAGTCTTAACTTCTCTAAATGTTGCATATAAAAGAGGGAATAACTTTAATAATTGCCACCTCAGGAAAAAGTAGTTACTGCTTACAGCTGTAGATTAAAAAAAAAAAAAAATAGAACTATCCAGTGGTGAAGGGATCTGACATGAAAATTAATGAGCCATTTGCCAACAAAATGTTCGTGGAGGTGATGTAAACTGGAAAAGACTGGCATTTGTGACCCCCCAAGAGGCGGTGAGACCCAAACCCCTAAGGAGTTATTGCTTTCAAGCTCAGGCTCTAAATCCTGCCAACAACAATATGTCCAATAGCAAAGTCATCATCTTTTCCTTTGTCTTCATTTTTGCATGTCTGCCTTCCAATCCGAGTTTGTCACTCACCCTTTTATTTAGATACCAGTGGAGGGTTATTTTTCTTTGTCTTGATTGTCTGTGGCATAATCGTAATCTGAGTGATCTCATTTCATTCTTGGACACTGAAGCTGCTTCCATCTTTGTTACCAGGGTTCCACCTAAGCCTCTTATTTTATTTTGTTAACTCTTACTTATAAATCTTCATTTTCTCTTCATTTCTCAAGACAAAACCAAACTCCTGACCCTGACATCCCAGCACCCTATAGTCTGTGCAAACAGTCTACCTCTGCCTCCTTATACACCACAGGCTCATTGTCTCTGTCATTCAATATGTCACCAGGTTACCTCTACTTAGAACAAGCAGCCCCCCACCCATTTTCTAACATATCCTGGCCCCTTAATAAAACTCTTATTTTGACTTTGTATTACCCACCAATTCAAAGGCCTATGTAGAGTTGTTGAAAATTTTAGTACACCCTTCAATTTTGTGGTAGAGAGAAATATATTTATTCTGTCTATAATTGTTCTGAGGCAAAACTCCTACCCACAGGTTAATGGAGGGTAAGGTAGTGTGCAAGAATTAATTTAAATCAATCTGTTCAAATTAGAGGTTGTTTAATAATTGAAATAGTTCTAAGTATATTCTCTTGTCTCTTTTAGATAGAACATTCCAGACCCTTACTCTCTTTCCTCTGGTTTCTAAGGTGACAGTCAGGTATCTGAGGGAGCAGCATCCAGCTTACACAGTCTACTACATACCACAGGCTACATGTATAAACATAGCCCTCACCGTAGTTGAGAGGAAGGCATAGAGTCCACAGAAATACATGGGAAGATGCTGCTTGCCTGATTGTGTGCTGCTTGCCCTGAGGCTATCCTGAGATGAAGTCCCTGGCTCCCACAGTTTAGGTTCAAAATAGCAGTCTTTTTTGAGGCCCAGTGATGACTTAGGGTCCTCTTGGTCCCTCTTTATTTGAGTCTGACTTGTATTTGTCCTAAGTGCAATTGTTTCCTCTCTTTTTGGAGCCCCTTGCTCTCTCCACTGTGACACCCTATGGAAAACTCTGGAAGGGACCCTCAAACACCTCCACATGTACCCATTCTATGGAGAAATAGTGAGTGGCATGAGAAAAGTCAGGCTTAGCTCCTTTCTTACTTACAACATTATTCTGTCAAGATTATTCAATTTGGCTCTACCTAGTTGGTAAGCCACACCCATAAGACAGCAGCCTCATAGACCTCATTTCCCCACCACCCAAAAAAGGGTATATGATGATACATGTATAAAATTTTACTGTCTTCCACTTTCTCTTTGTCATCCCACTATTATCCCAAATATTTTCCTTGACTGCACTGCCTTTATTTACACTCCTGTGGTCTACAGAGCAGCCGTGTCCACATCAGCTGGCAACTTGTTCTAAACACAAATTCTTAAACCCCACCCCAAGCCTACTAAATTAGAAGGTCTGGAGTTGTGTTCAGCAGACTTCACTTTAGCAAGCCTTCCAAATGGTCCTGATAGTGCTAAATTTGAGAGCCACTCATCTCAGTTTTAAGGTTAATTTTTTATATGACAAACAGGAAGAAAAGAAAATCAATAAATACTTTGCCAGTCAACAGTTGACATGGCAACACTTGTTTCAAAATCTTTTGTTTGAATATCAAAAACTAAATATTACCAGATTCTTATATTTGCATATTTTCTATATGAAAAGAAAATCTTCTGCTTCAGTTTTAGTTCGAAAACCAGAGTAAAAATGAGAGAATAATAATTTTATAAATATAACTCCGTTTTGCTTACAATGACTTCCCTTATCATAAGAGGAGGCCCAAACTCTGTCCTCCTAAAATTCAGGTCCTCCTTCAGATTCAGACCCTAATCAGTATTTCCAGGTCTTATTGTCTTCTTTAGGATTTCCTGAATCCAAACATAAAGTATCATGTTATCTTTCAAATCTTTCCTGTTAACAGACATTTGAATATGCCAGTTAATCTTAAAACACGTTCATCATTTCTTTTCCATGTATTTGAATCTTACTCATCCTTTAAACCTTGTTCATCCTTCTTTTGCTTTGTTTATTCCAGCATTATCTCTACTAGCTAACCTCTATTGAGTATGAGTGGTTGGTTTTTGGTATTGTGAATGAATGCTATGAATTGTCAGATATTTAAATTTTTAACATAAAATAATTACTTTTTGTTGAAAATTACACTTTAGCAGGAAAGAAGAAGCAAAGACAATATTGTTCTTCACCAGTTTAACAAGAGAAGAATTCAAGGGCCAACACCTGAAGAACCCATTGTCCAGAAAGATGTGTCCTTATTTGGAGTTAATGAAAATAACCAAAGTGGTAAATACCCCCATCTTTTTGCAAGTAGACAGACAATGAATGAAGGCGGCAGCATTAGTAATGAAGACAATCCGTATAATGACCTAGCCACATCTACTCACCCTGAACCTACTGAGGATGCTGGGGTTGAGGAGAGAGACGAGGCTCTCAGCACACTACATGACCAAGAAGAATATGGCGCAGCTTTCATCAGATATAACATTCAGCATAGAATAGAGTCAGTGACTGTGACTGAACCTTTGAGGGAAGAAAACAAAGAGAAAAAGCCCCACAATATTGTAAGCAAAATTCTGGCAGATGCAAACTATGTTAAAGCCCCTTTAAAAGATAAGAAGAATCATCAAAGAGATCCCCAAAGCCAGGATAACCCAGTAAAAAGTCAAAGTACTCACCACAGTCAACACAATGTTGACTATCTAAAGCAACTCCCCAAAGTCAAAAAGATCCCCAGAGATTTTGAAGGCAGTAGTTACCCAGAATTTCACGGCAGAGGGGACAATGATATCTCTCCTTTCAGTGGAGATGGACAACCTTTTAAGGATATTTTTGGTAAAGGAGAAACTGACTTAGATGGTACAGATACTCAAACAGAGTTTTCTGGCTCAAATGCGCCTGAGACTAATAATTTGGACATGAGAGGACCAGGTTATAATGAGCTCCCAGAGAAAGAAGAAAATGGCAGGAATAGCATCAGAATCAAAGATAAAACAGAGGAAGATGCAAATACTGCTGAAATAAGCTTGGTGGAAGGCAACAATGATATCATAGGTATCACCAATTTTAAAGAACTTCCTGGAAAAGAAGGAAACAGAGTGGATGGCAACAGTCAAAATGCTCACGAGGGGCAAGTAGAGTTTCATTACCCTCATGCCCCCTCAAAAGAGAACAGAAAAGAAGGTGGTGGTGATATAACGAAAAGTACTCATGATAATGAAATTCAAAAAAAAGGCAAGGATAGTAGTAGAAAAGGTATAGAAAATTCTAGTAAGAATCAAGAGACATCTAGTGAAAACCAAAGCTTTCCTAGTAAGGGTAAAAGTCAGGAGCTCATTCCTTCCCACAGTCTTGATAATGAAATTAAAAATGAAATACATTTCCATAATGACCCCAATATTGAGGGGACTACAACAACACACAAGGGAAAAGGTCATTATGTACCCCACAGACCAAACACTTCCACAGGAACTGCAGGTGTGCCACAAAGGAAAGGCTCTTGGGGCCACAGAAAACCCTATTCCAATAGAAAGCCTCACTTCCCCAGAAAACATGACAGCAGTGAATCATCTGAAAGTGACAGTTCAAGTGAAAGTGAGGGTGACTAGCACACTAGACACTCCCAGCAAGATGACATTTTGAATCCCTAATCATCTGTGATTTGATGGTTGAGAGGAGCCACCTGATAGCAAAGCATATGAAAGAGGACACAGCAGAGAAGTGAGTTAGCCAGGAAGCTGCCTCCTGGGGAGAATCATTGCTATTTTAAGAGTCACAGTAGAAAATTCTATTGGAAGTCATAATGCTTTCTTTAAGGAAAAAAAAAGTCATTAAGAATTTATGGGCTTAAATTTATAAAATATTTGAGTAAGTGTCATTTAAAAATATCAGTAGTTTGTGAATGTCACGAAAGTCTTCTTATTGGTTGTTTGAACTGTAGACATGACAATAAAAAATATCTATCATATGGTCATCTGTAATTAAACGATCTATTACATTCCGGTGTTCTGTGGTGCATCAGTCCAGAGGTAACAAGATTGGCTGTGCCTCTGGCAAAGGTAATATTCTAAATTATGAATTAACCCACTTACTATACCCTGAAAGAGTCCCTCATGTTATCTGATGTCAGCCAGGATTCCCTCTGAACAACCTGCACTCTCATAAATATACCCTGCTTTACAGCAGTCTATGCTCTTTCTTCTGTTACACATTTATAACTTCTCACAAGACACCTTTCATTTCCTGAAGAAAATCTCCATGTTAACATTTTTCTCAGTTCTAGCTCTCACTAGATAAAGAGGGGAGTGTGGTGGAAGGAGGGCAGCAGAGAGGAATTGAGGAGAAACACACAAATGCAGACCCAAGAGCAAAACTTGCCATGGCAGATATGACTCATTGGCTGACCCCAAATGACCTTCAGTCACGTTCTTCCTGTTGACCTCTTATGCGATGCTTTTCCAGTTAATGACCTGCAACGCCATTATTCTGGCATTCAGACTGGAGTCCCTTAGTCAGGGAGGGAGCAGAGGGCTGGGATGCTGCTGCAAAAACATATAGCTGGCACTACCCTTCCTCTTTTCTTACCCTATTCTTTGTGTAACTTAACATGATACCCAGAGATGCAACAGCAGCAAAGGAAAATATGAGTTCATACTGGATACACGTATTAGTCACCATCCCAGCTCCTGACACAGACTTCCTAGAACCCCATGGTGTCTTCAGTGATAAGAGCAGAGGAATGGCTTTGGTTCCAATAATTGGCCTTTGACCACCTCCTTGACACAGAGTTCCTAAATACCTGCGGATTTCCTGGATGCTAGTAGTGTCTTTGTTCCACTGGGGTGACACTGAGGGGTTCTTGATTGGAGCTAGCCACTGGAAAGACCTAGTCATGATTAGCTTGTAAACTTTAGTCCTCCTACCCCTTCTCTAGAGAAGGGAGAATGTCTGAAAATGGAATTAGAAATTGATCATGCCTATGCGGTGAAACATCCCAACCCCAAAATAAAGGCTTTGGAGACTTGTCAAGAGTGGTGAACATGTGGAGGTACCAGGGGAAGAGCAGACCAGCCAGGCCAGGGAAGGTCTGCACCCCACTCCATACTTTGCCTATGCATCCCTTCCATGTGTGTGTTCATCTGCATCCTTTAAAATTTCCATTTAAAAATGAAAGTAAATAGGAAGTAAATTGTTTTCCTGAATTCTATGAGCTGTTCCAGCAAACTGAACAAAACCAAGGAGGGGATTATGGGAACTTTTGCTTTCTAGGAGAGAATTACTTGTAACAACCTGAACTTACTGTTGGTATCTGAAGTGGAGCAAGGGTGCAGTCTGGCGGGGATCAGTCCTAAACCTCTGAATCTGACATTCTGTTTAAGCAGAGTGTCAGAATGAAGCTAAATTGTATGACACCATAGAAGGGGTCACAGAAGTTGCCTGGTGTGAAAAAAAAAAAAAAACCCACAATCTGGTGTCAGAAGTGTGTGATTATAATGTGTGAGTAAAAGAGATGCACAGGAGAAGTGTGGATTTCTAATATAAAAAGACCAAATAATCACAGAGATGCTGCTAGACCAGCTCCATCATTCTCCTTTTTTCAGGAGGATGTTCTGAGTGAAGCAATTCTCCATTTGTAGGTAACTATTTGGGGCTGCTTTTGTTATTGATAGTGAATTGAATTACTAGTTGATAGAACTTTCTGTTCCAGATAATTTTCTAAGTGAGAAAGATCAAGAGAAGAAGAAAGAAGTAGAGTAAGAACCTATATATGCATATTATATGTACATATATGTCACATATATGCAGATATCAACACATTATGACACCTTCCAAAAATCTAAACTCTCAGATTAAATAGAAGGTGCTTTTTCAACTAAATAAAAACAGCAGTGTGAGTCATGGCACAAATTATCATTATCCTTTATTTATAGGAGAGGAAATGGAGACAAAAAATTGTTAATGAGTGTTCCAATTAGTAAGCTCAGACTTGAATCCTGGCAGTCAAGTTCCAGAATCTTTGTTCTGAAACATTCATTTTACTGCCACATAACACACAGATATGTGTAAATACATTATATATATATATATATATATTTATATGAATGTATGTTTATACTCACATAAACACATATGTGGAGAGAGTGTGTGTATATATTCATAGACATGTGAATAGTATGAGGATGTATATAACAAGAAAGAAGTTGAAATAAATGCCATGTAGAAGAAAAGGAATGTCTATTCTCATTTATTCTCAATCTTTTAGGATTAACAGAAATCAGTGTCAATAGGAAGATTTAACATATCACCTAAAAGAATTAACTGTCATCAAAATTCCAGAATAAACTAATCTTAGCATTTCAATTTTTTTAAGAAAGATAACTTTTGCAAATGCATACACAAGACAATGAATGAAATGAAAACTATATCAGAACTTGAATTGCAGAAAAATGAATGGAAATCACCTTGCTCTTTATATCCCAGATTATATTGGACTTATGCATATGAATTTTCTGATAACATGGCAGACACCTGGCCTTATAAAGGAAAAATATGAGCTGATGGAAAAAAATGAATGCTTTCTTTGGTATGACAGGCAGAATTTTCCAAGGTTTTCTGTCCTCGTCTGCTCTCTAGTGGAGAAGCTGTGCATCTCAATTCTCTGGATAGACTTTATATCCTCTCTCCAATCTTGAGTCCTGGTGGACATTTTAGGGCACAGACAACCTTCACATTTTCTTCATCCATTTAAGAGTCTCTGGAAATATCTTAACATCCTATTGCCCTGGGATGCGGATTGGGAAGGTCCGCATCAATAAAAGGAGCAGAGACGCAGAAATACAACCTAAAATCATAGCAGAGACCCAGAAACACAACCTAAAATCAGCCAGCAGTTCTGTCCATTTTCCAAACCCAGGTCTCAGCATTAAGCTGAACTAGCTTCACTTAAAAAGCAAACAAAAAACAGATTTCCAAAGTTGCACAGAAATTTTCAAGCTCACAAAACTGCCTTGTGCGAGGACTGAAATGGTTGTAGCCTGCCACACTGTGCCCCAAAATATATGATTGCTCTTTTCAATTTTCCAGCATTTAGTTCCGTGCTTGTTCCTCCTACCAATCTAGCTTCCCAGACTTATTCCTCCTAAAGTTTGCAGTTTTAATGAATCTGTTCTTGGAAACTCCAGTAAATCAAGGTAGGATGTCTGGTTCAACTCATTAAAAAACACTTACTAAATGACCACATATTACAAAAGTGCCTGGACATCAAAAGAAGAAAAGAGATACTCCTGACCCTTTCAAGAACATAATTTATTCAAGGAGAAGAGCATACAAATATACCAGTCAGATGTGCTATATTCACTGGTAGAAAGATAAACAAAGTGACAACAAATTCTGAGAGAGGCGATGAACTCTAGCTGAAAGGAAAATCCATTTAGAATACACATTTAGAGATGCCACAAAAAGTAATTGCCAGCAGACAAATGAGAATTGATAGGTGCTGACTTGAATAATATTATAATTTACAACTGAAGAAAGATCACCCTAATCATAGGACAGGAGAGATGGGAGATGAGATGACAGAGACAATTGGAAGTCAGATAACTAGTAGTAAAGACAGTCTTTAAGACTGTTTTGAACTAAGAAGTCACTTAGATGGCATTAGATTCTTGGTGCGTTGGTGGTGGATGAAGTGTGGTAATATACATCTGAAGAGATGTGATCTTATACCTCTGATCATAACAGTGTTGTAAATCAGAAGGAAAGTGGTGGATGAAGTGTGGTAATATACATCTGAAGAGATGTGATCTTATACCTCTGATCATAACAGTGTTGTAAACCAGAAGGAAAGAGACAAATACAGAATGTTTTTGCTCATATGGGGAATACAGAGAAACAAAGCAAAGGGTTAGACAAAAACTGATCGGTGGAAAACCCTAGAAATCTGACTGTAGAATTGAGGCCAAATTGGAGGTGAAGGGGAGGGGTAAGGATGGGAAGATAGGGAGAATGTGGTCGGGACTGAGTATGTTGGTGCTGGGTATATGTGCCTAACATGCACCCAAAGACATGAGACCCTATACACTGAATTATTTATAGTATTGCAAACAAGTGTTATCACAATTAAAAAAGTCATTAGATGAAATTCCTTACCTAAATAAAATAACTCAAATGACCAAAAAAAGAGAGATGGCATTAGTTTCAAACATACTAATACTTTGACAAAAGTCCACATTTCAAAATTCGCCATCTAATAGCTAGGTATTAAAATATAGGGTTAAATTTTCCAAAGGAAAAGGCAGATAAATAGATGAGTGTGAATAAACAGAATGGAAGGGGGATGGAGGGCAGAAGTAGAAATAGCAGTGGAAATAAAAGATTAGAAAAAACTTAGATTCAGCAATTCTCGATGGAAAGGAGGACAAAACTTTAATGTAATCTCAAGGCCAAAGATCAGTTGAGAAAAATCAGAAAGTTCAAGACAATTAAAATGAGATATTCTTGAACTGGAAAATATATTTACAGATATATAGCTAATAAGAGATTACTATCTACGATATATAAAATGCCCATATAACCCAACAGTAAAAATAAATAAGCCAATTTATAAATGTGTAATAAAGATGAACAGACAGTTCACCAAATGGACTTTCAAAAGGTCAAAAGACACTTGAACAAATGTTCTAATAAGAAAGATGCAGGTTAAGATCACAATGAGATACCACCCAGCCTCCAAGGATGACACGTTCAACAGGAGTTCGAGAGGAAG